CTCTCTCTCTCTCTCTCTCTCTCTCTCTCTCTCTCTCTCTCTCTCTCTCTCTCTCTCTCTCTCTCTCTCTCTCTCTCTCTCTCTCTCTCCTTCTCTCTCATTAATTCACTTACTGGAGAAAATTTTTGACTTTGACGTTACTGATAGAGGGAGAGAATCCTATGAATAAAATCTCTTCCATCTTCCAGATTTTGGGGAAAGAAGCAATTTACAACAAGGGAAGAGGTAGAGTTTACATTCAAAAGGGTCATTGTCAACAGGGTAGTTTTCAGTGAACCAAGACTGAACAATTTCTTCAACCTGAATAGAAATTATGGGAGGAAGGGGACATGGAGCTTCATGAAAATAAGTTAAAAGTAAACTGAAGTGCAGCATGTGAATTAGATTTGTGAATTAGATGAGGATATTTGTCACATGCTTATAAATTCGTGCCGAGGTTATTGAGAGTTGTACCTTACACACAAATTGAGTGTTGTCCCCTTTGAGGGATGCCTTGGGCATCAGCTAAAAGAAATCTTTTTTCTCCAGAGACCCTGCCAGTCCTGCCTCACTGAGATTTCCCATACCTTATAATGATTTTGGGGGCCCCAAATGGCTCACAATTCCCACATACAGCTTGACTGAGACAAACATGCTTTGGGATTAAAATGCCTGAGGAAATATCCTGCTGTGAAAAGCAACCATTTCTTTCTGAAGAAATTAGATTCACTTTCTAGGTCTTTGTCACTGGAGCTTTCTACCTGTTTTGGCCTGAAAAGATTTGATTTTGCCTTTGAGCTTCCTTGGTTAGTTTTCAAGAATACTTTAAACAATTAAAAGTAGGTGTAGGATTGTTCTTTAATTTCAGTCGAAACATTTCCTAGGATCATAGGTCTAGGGTGGGAAGAGATCTTAGAGGCCAGGTAATCTAATCCCTTCATGGAAAGATGGAAAAGAAGCAATAATGATAGCTCATTTTTATATGTTGCTTTAAGGTTTGGAAAGCACTTTATATATGTTACCTAATATACAATGACCTCTACAACAACCCTGAGAGGTAGGGGCTATTCTCATCTGCACTTCTTAGATGGAAAAACTCAGGCCAAGGGAGGGGCCATTAGCTCCTTGGTCAGATCACCAGTAAGTTGTCGTAGCTAGTAAGTGTTTTTAGTTAGGATTTGAACTCAGGACACCAGGGCCAGCATTTTGTCCACAATATCAAATGGATGTCTCTAACCAAGTTTTGTTGAAATGAAAAATGGAAGAAAAATAGAATGCAAAAATAAAACTTGTTTAAATATAAGTTGTAATTCTTTGAAACTTTCTATGACTTTGGCCGTGCTGGGTCCAGAACAAGACATCCTGAAGAGTGGCCAATGTCTCTGAACCTGGAGGTTCTTCATACTCTGCTTTAGAAACTTGCTGAAAAAAAGGAGTATAATTTAACTGGCACAGCTAGGGGGTGCAGTGGATAGTGTGACGGAGTCAGGAGGACTCGAGTTCAAATATGACCTCAGACACTTACTAGCTGTGTGACCTGGGACAAGTCACTTCACCCTGTTTGCCTCAGTTTTCTCATCTTCAAAATGGACTAGAGAAGGAAATGGCAAACCATTCCAGTATCTTTTCCAAGAAAACCCCAGATGGAGGTCATAAAGAATGGGACACAACTTAACAACATAATTCTGTTCAGGCAGCTGCCTTGACTAAATCGGGCAGAGAACTGCCAAACTTCCACTTTATTTAATGTCGAAAGAACTCTATGAAGTCCCTGATTCTTTCACAAAGTACTGGAGGGATTTGAACCAAATTTTGTTTTGTGTTACTTACATCACTCCTATATATTTTTTTCTCCCTCCCTCCCTCTCAATATGGTGATATATTAGCTACTTCAGTAACTTCTTTATTTGGCTGGTATTTTAGCCAAACATCCTCATATGAGCTGTATTCTGAATATTAATACAGAATCCCTTATTTGAATCCTATATTCTCTTAGTAGATAATTTATTTAAATGAATTCATTACTTATATTCTTCTTCTGAGACTTCTGAGAGATTTTGACCTTGCTTCAGAAGTAGTCTGAATTATACTTAATTTGTGTAAAAAAAAAATGGTCAGTCTGAGAATTATTTTGTCTTCCGTTATCAATCTATCAGCAATCCTTTCAACTTATACAAAAGCAATATTGTAATACAGTCACAAAATAATAAATATAGCCTTTCTTAGATAAATTTATTATTTTTCTAATGACATGTTGTTGATTTCTAATGAACATTTCCATGTATATGACCATCAATAATATGCCATTGTTACTAATTACTTAGCTCAGTACTTTACACTGAGAGGAGGAGAGGAGGAAAAATAGATTCCTTGTCCCAGAAGGATTTAATGTGTTTACATGCTGTGTGATGGATAAACATTGAGCCAAATGTGAGGAGTTTAGAGACTAGATCTTTTTGAAGTATAGATGTCAGCCCCATGGACCTGTGACACTGTAATCCTAATGTATAAGTTCTGTCATTTGGCTAATGTCATCATTGTTGAAAATGATGAATTTTGATTGGGTTGACAATTTTGTTTATTTAATTGATTCTGGATTTCTTCTTTAGGAGGCTCTCTCAGCCCATCAGAAGGAGAATTTGTTAAGCCTAAAGTGGTACATTGTTTTTAGGTTTATTCTTTGCCTCTGTGGCTAACTCTGACAGTTAATAAACAAAGAGTCTGCTTAAGAACAGAAATATAAATACAAGACCAGAGTGCTAAATTGCTGGTTCCTGGTGGCAAGTACCAATTGGCTTCTACCATAGCACACATGCTTCTTAAGGATCTGATTTCAGTGAGGCCTTATACTGCCACGAAGTTGAGCCATATATAGACCAGTTAAACTTTTTTTTTCTTTTCTACAGTCAATGAACTATATAGGCTTAAAAATAATCGGTCATCTTACATACTTGTACCCCTAAAGGATCAGGAGAAAAAGTATACATGGATCAATGTAAATCCAGGACTACATCCTAATTAAAACAACTTCGGTGTTGGTTCTGTTGCTTCTGCTGCAACCCTAGGCAAAATTTTAAAGTCCACTGGAGTTTGTTTTTTGGCACTTTCTTCTCCCTCTTCCTCCTGCCCTTCCTCTTCTGTCTCATGACTTTCTACTGAAATTGATCTGCATCTGTCACTCATTCTGCCATCTTGGAAAGGATCTCTCACCACTCCCATCCCCATCAGCAAGCATTTATTAAGTAACAACTGTCTGCCAATTACTATGCTAAGGTACACCGGAGATATAAATGAAGAAAAGAAACAATCCTTCCCCTGAAGGGTCTTAGAGTCTAGTTGAGGAATCTTATCAGATATCTTATTTTTACCAGATATCTTATGCTAAATTTATCCTAAGAAGGTGTAAATAGAAATGGCTCAGTATCTTAATTTCAAAGATCATTTGTCTACAGGAAAGAATTGGAAACGGAGAGAATGCTCATCAATTGGGGAATGGCTAAACAAGTTGTGATATAAGATCGTGATGAAATATTATTATGCTATAAGAGATGATGAGGGAAATAGTTTCACAAAAACCTGGGAAGACTTATATGAACTGATGCAAAGTGAAACGAACAGAATCAGGAGAACATTGTGTGTAGTAATGGCAATGTAGTAACATTAACAAAATGTAAAAGAATCAGCTTCTCTGTTCAGTACAATTATCCATGAAAATTCCAAAGGACTCGTGATGAAAAATGCTATCTACTTCCAGAGAAAGAAACAATGAACTTTACAAGCAGATTGAAGCATTTTTTTCCACTTCCTTTATCTTTCTTGCTTTTTTTTGACAACTATGGAAATCTATTTTGCATGACTTCACATGTTTAATGGGAATCATATTGTTTGTCTTCTCAAAGTATGGGGTAGGGGCTGGAGAGAGGAAGAGAAATTGGAATTGAAAATAATTAAAGAAAAAAAAAGATTGCCTGTCTATTGGTAATAATTCAAATAAGCAAGGGCCATGGGGAGTGGTTTCCCCAAACTTTCAAATCTAAAGTAGGGGAACCTGATTAGTAACTTCCATTTTTCTGAGGATAGCCTTAGTTGCAGTCAGTAGTGTCAAATGTGTTTGTAAAGGATGGCATTATGTTTCTGAGGCTACCTTTTTGTTTAATTAATTTGAGGGACAAATTTTAGGAAAAAGTTCACTGAGCTTAAACTTCAGGGGAATTCAGAAGAGGAATGAGTTGGGAGTAGGA